AAACGGCCTCCGTAGCGGAGGACAGCGAGCGACGAGAGGGGCAGAGCGACGCGTCGCTCCTGTGGCCCTGTCACCAGTCCCCGAGGCGGGAGACGAGTTGTGACCACGGTAGCAGCATTTCTATTTATCGTTTTATAACAGCAGAGGTGGCTTCGTGTGATTGCGAGACCAGAGTGAAAGGCTGGGAAGCATATAGGATTTTTAAAAAGTTCCTTAGGACAGACCGTGTTGTAATAGACAACAGTAAAGACTCCTGTCCCCTGTGCTCTTGCGGACAGCCCCTTCTCGCTGGCTGTAGTTATTCTGAATTCTGACACAAAAAAAGCAACTGTTTGGATTGTTTTGGCTTTGGGTGCAAACAGTTTGTGTCCTTTATAAAGTTAAAGGTGTGAGGCTCATCTATGCTTTTATTCGAAGGATCACAGGGTCACAGAACAGTTGAGGTTGGAAGGGACCTCTGGAGATCATCTAGTCCAACCCCCCTCCTCAAGCAGGGTCCTCTAGAGCACATTGCACAGGATCACGTCCAGACTTCTTATGTTCAGCTGGAACTTCCTGTGTTTCATTGCTTCTTGTCCACCTGTGCTATTTTAGAAACCTGCTTTTGGTACCCTAGAGTGGTGCCTCTCTCACTATTGGTCCTATATGATTAGCTCAGGGACAGACAGCCTCCTATTGATGGATGTCCACGTTAGTCATATGAATTCCATTCTTTATCACTTAGGTTTTAAATGCATTCCTGGCTGGAAAATCTGCTCCTGCCCCCAGTCTTTCCAGGGAAGGAAGTTTTTCAGAGAGACTCAGGCAGTGCACATATATTATCCAGTCCCATCCCATCTTCCTTCACTGCCCATCCAGGATGAAGTAAGATGCTCCAGTCCCTTCATCATCTCAGTAGCCCTCCACTGGACTCGCTCCAGGAGCTCCATGTCTCTCCTGCACTGGGGAGGGAGCCCAGAACTGGACCCAGCACTCCACGTGAGGCCTCCCCAGGGCTGAGGAGAGGGGCAGGGTCACCTCCCTCGACCTGCTGGCAATGCTCTTCCCAATGCAGCCCAGGATGCCATTGGCCTTCTTGGCCACAAGGGCACGTCGCTGGCTCGTGGTCGACTTGTTGTCCGCCAGGACTCCCAGGCCCCTCTCCGCAGAGCTGCTCTCCAGCAGGCCAGCCCCCAGCCTGTCCTGGGGCCTGGGGTTATTGCTTCCTAGGGGCAGGACCCTGCACTCGCCTGTGCTTAACTTCACGAGGTTCCCCTCTGCCCATCTCTCCAGCCTGTCCGGGTTCCCTCTGAATGGTGGCACAGCCCTCTGGTGTGTCAGCCACTCCTCCCCATTTTGTGTCATCAGCAACCCTGCTGAGGAGGCACTCTGTCCCTTCATCCAGGTCATTGATGAGTAAGTTAAAAAAAAATTGGACCCAGTATTGACCCCTGCAGGACATAATGTCTGGCTTAAGTTGTTTTACATCTCCCAGTCATGCCTCCTCTTAAGCACATTAGGTGCAAATCCTGTTACAGCTGTCTACAGTAGCATCTATCTCCCCTTAGCCATAATACAAGCTGCCTTTCTTCATCATGCAGCAACCTGGAGGCACCTGGCATATCTTTTGTTGTTGTTGTCTTCAGAGTTCCTCTTGGTGCAGAAATGTGGGCTCCTGCATTTGCTCAGGCTGGTTGGATCAGGCTAGTAGGTTCTCATGCTTTTTCAGTTCCAAGGCAGGCAAGTAGACTCCTGAACTGCTGTGTCCAAAAGGGGACATTTGCTCCAATGCATATGGCCTGAAATACCTGATGCACTGGGTTGGGGGTGCCACCAGTGATTAATAGGTGAGTAATAACAGATGTCTATCTTGGTTCTTGGCTTTTCTTCCTCATAACTCCTATACACCTGTGGAGCTCACTGAGTACCAGACAAGAACCAAGTCTAACTGAGTTCATTGCTAGCTCTTCTGTTGGAACTGCATTGCTGTGCCTTGAGACACGTAAGGTTCATGTGACCAAACAGGGTAAGGAGAAGGAATGTGACTGCTGCCTTGGGATATGGAGTATGTGTTTGCCTTACCTGAGGTTGATTCTCCTCTTTGGTTTTTTTTAGTGTTTTGGTGAAATTTGAGGCCTTTGCGTTGTAGGTTAAGCTCTGTGGGTTTGAAAGTTCTAGTGAAGAGATCTTATATTCACAGAATGATTTCTGTGCATATGGGTCTGTATATGAATATGCATGGGAATGATCATGTCAATACATGCCTGCACACAGATAAGTACTTGTTTGTTGTAAGTACTTACTTGTTGTAACGCTTGCGTGAAAACAGGGTTCACTGTTTCTACACATTCAGAGGATGTAGAGACAACACCAGGTGTTCTTTTAGCTCTCAGCTTTGTGATATCTCTTTTTTTCTTATAGAAACCAGAGAAGACAGGACAAAGCGTCTCTTCAGACATTATACTGTGGGCTCTTACGACAATTTCACCTCTCACAGGTAAGCATCCACGTCTTTTCTTTTTGTGGCTGCAAAATGTTTTTGTTCCATGGAATAATATCTCCTTTTCCTGGCTGAGCTGTATATGTTGCATTAATTTCATGGGTAGGAAACTTCCCTGGTTGTTTCGGTCAGGAAGAAAGATTTTGGCATGGGAGAGGCTGGGACCATGAAAATGACTTTTTGGTTAAGACGCAGGGATTTTGGGGGGCACTCTGGGAGTAGAAGAACTTGTGTTGGATGCAGATGTAGAGTTGCAGCTTTGCTCTGAAGGGGGAGAGAGGATTCTGCTGTGCATGGGATGGCATGAAAACAGCTGTTACTCTAGCCTGCCAGTTGTTCTGAATGTGCTGTCTGGACTGTAGGATCACCAGCGGTGTTCTGCTACATGGTATGTGAATGTACTCACTTGAATATGAAGACTGAACTTTTGGACAATGATTAAAGTCAATACAATACTCAGCTTGGGATCATTAATGAGAGCAGAGGCGATGCTGCAATTTTGTGCTTGGTCATGAACACATGGGGCTGGTGGACATGTTCATCGAAGAACAGGTTGAAGGAATGGGCCTACTGTTTGGATACAGGGATACACTTTTGAAACTGGGTTTCTATGTGACATGTTTGGGGGATAAATGCAGAGTTACTCTGTGGAATATAAGCTCTACTTGCTGTCAGACTTCAGTACTCGTAACAATTACTGATCATTAGAGTAATTAAATGAGCATTATTGCTTACGACGTGACAGGAACAAACTGTGACAACTCATTTTACAAAAACTGAGTTTCCTTAGTTATCCTGAACTCTTTCAGCATATCAACAAAATAATCAATGCATTCTGTTTTTACTGTGCTTCTTGTTGCAAATCTGTCTTGGTGGGTCTAAGCACTTTTTACTCATTTAAGTTTTCAGAAAGCTGTGAGGCACTTCTTCAAAGGTTGTTTATATTCTTAACTGATCATGGGATGAAAGAGAAAACACTACTATGAATCAGAAAACAGTAAAGAAGAAGAGCAAAGGGGAAAAACAATCAATTTCCATCATGGCAGAATGCTACAGGGAATTCACAAAGGGCCTGTGCAAGGGTCACTGATTGTTCTTAATCCTGAAAAGGGCAGGGAAAAGATCAGAATTTGCAAATGACTTAAAATTACATTCCATAGGCAAGTCAAGAGCAGATGGTGGGATTGCATTAAGCTGGGGGAGATAAACAGTGTGATAGTAAAATAAATTTATTTTGGTAAACGTGAGGTAACACACATCAGAAGGAACACTCTGTGGTATTCTTGTCCGTTAAAGAGTTTTAAGCTCTTCATAATTGCTTAGGAATAAAGACCTCATGTCACTGTGATGTCACAGTGAAAACATCGTGTCAGCACTGAGGCATTCCCAAAACAAGCAGAAGTATGACTGAAAATACAACTAAAGCTATTGAGAAGCAGGATAAGTGGAAGAAGCTCACCACTGGAGCTCCAGGTGGACCTGTGCTGATGAACCTGCTCACTCCCTTTTCCAAATCATTTATGAGTGCTGAGTAACAAAGTTTGTCAACAGTTCTAAGTTTGTCAGGGTAGAAAAAATGGAGGCCAAATGCAGGAAGCTGCAAAAGAACCATGCAGTTCTAAGTGTTGTGATACTGGCTGCTGGATGATAAAACAGCAGCTAAACTCCAACACAGACAAGTAAAAAGTAATGCGCGTGGGAAGAAGCCATAGTGGTATTTCACGTTCAGTGTAGGCATTGGACTGACTTCTCTCTCTCAGGAGCAAGATCTGGGGGTAAACAGATAGTTCCATCAAAATTCCAGCCCAGAGCTGCAAAAGTAAATTGAATTTTTGGAATTATTAAGAAAGGAAAAAACAAAAGAGAAAATACTGTTAATATCTTTCTATAAGCATATACTGTGCCCACGTCTTGAAAACTGGATCATGTTTTAGTCATTCAGACTTAAAAAGTAGTACTTGGAAAATTGCAGCGAAAACCAACAAAGATGCTGAAAATTAAGAAAGATCTTCTGTGAGAGGTGAAACTAAACAGACTGGAACTCTATAACCTGGAAAATGATGGTGAATGCGAAGGAGTCTGGGAGAAGTCCACAAATGAGTGACATGAAACAGAGAACAGAGAATAGTTGATTTCTGTCACTTCCAATGCAACAACCACCAGGTACTGAATGAAGCAAGCACGTGGAATGTTGAAAGTGAGCAAAGGAGGAGTTCTCCATGTAACGTGCAATTAAACTGTGCAACTCCTTGCTAAATAACATTGAGTGCTAAAAATTGACAGATTCAGAAAGCAGTGGGACAAATTAAAGAAAGAAAAATCCATTGCAGGCTTCTGAATACAAAGAGACTAGCTCTGACTCAGGAATTCACTTAGTCATAAAGCACTGGAGGTTAGGCGTGCATTGTGGGGAAGCACCACTGTATTCTTAGGTTGTTCTTACTCCCTTTGTCGTTTTTGCACTATTAGCTGTTGCTAGGAAGTCAGAAGGACTACTGGCCTGACCCTGTACAGCTGTTCTTACGAACTGTGGGTGAGGGAGGCTTTTCTCTGAAGCCTAAAAGTGAGGTTCCCCAGCCCTACAGAGAGGAGATTTCAAGGCCTGACCTTTTCCTTGGTATCCTATATGGCTGCTGAAAGTGGCCCTGCAGTCAGCTGCCTGGCAGATAACGGTCCTGTTCCTGGGCTCTGAACTTCTCACGCCATGGTAGAAGCAGCCCGGGAATCTGATCTGAATGTCTTGAATTTCCCAAATGACAGGCGTAGATTGAGGCAACATTCAAGCCCTGTTGAACTGCTTCTCAGTGGGTATAAACCTGTTGTTGGAGTAGATTTTCTGGAATTGCACGTTACGTGAGGCATGCTTTCAGAATCCCCTACCGACTCAGGCCTCTTGAACTGACCTTAAAGTAAGGGTCTGAATATTTACTGCATAAGGCAAAACAAAAACTCTCCTTAAAGAGTGCCCTTCATACAATCTGTGGGTTGTATGTTGCGGCAGAACAGTCCATCTGGGCTGTGGCTTGTTCCTGTACTCCCTCATACCTGGGACCCCTCCGCTGCCATATGTATGCCACATACATATCCGTCTATGTGAAGAGGCTATGTAGCGTAGGAAGGTTGTGGAGTCCCTAGGAAGGATGGCAGGCAGGAGTGGTCTCCCACAGGGGAATAAGTAGCTACCCTATCTGTCTCATAACATCAGTCTCCAGGGGCCCTCGTAAAAGAAGGCAGCTGGGAGCAAACTACACAAATTGTGCTGGTGGTGACAGTTTTGCTCATAGCAGCTCTGTTTCCACAGAGTCACCTGGTAGAGGAGGGAGAGGAGGTCAGGCAGTTATGTTTACGTGCATAGACACGTAAACATACGTGTTAAACCATACCACTTTAACCATACCACTTACCTAAGTGGTCTTTAACCATACCACTTACCTAAGAGGAAGGGGAGATCTTTTCTTCTTGAAGTCCCACAGGACTATGTGTCAGGAGGATATAAAGCCTCTTCTGGATCCTCCCCACAATCACAGATGGCTTCTTACATCTTCTCCAGAAGCATTTGTTAATGGCCAGTCAGATATGTAAGCTGTGTTTAAATGGATCATAGTCCAGTTGGTCTTGGCGTTCCCAGGCAGTCCATACATGCAAAGCAGTGCCTGAGAAGCTGAACTGCTTTGCTGAAGTGTGGTTGGGAGGTCCCAGGATCGCAGTAACAGTGCTGACACTGGCTGTGAGTGCTGGGGGTTCTGACAGATTTTGGTGGTTTGAATTTGAACAGACTGAAGGATATTAGCTACAGCCCCATAACATGGTGCGTGGGCATGCAGCATAAAAGCATAAGAATGGCCGTTCTAGGGCACGCCAAGGATCCTCTAGGCTGGTATTGTGTCACACAGTGGCGAGTGGCAGGTGCTGAGTGTGGTTATGAGAACAGAATAAGCAAGTTTCAGTACCTCCCCAAAATATTATTCCTGCCTACAGCAATTCACTGCTCAGTCTTCCTGAGCCAGAGGCAATGTCGTTGTATTTAATAGCCTTTAATAGATCTTTATTCCATTAATTTGCCCAGTGACATGTAACTCAAGTGCTTTCATTCTCTCTCCTGAAATGGAGAGAGAAGGAGCTAGGATTGGCATTAGTGGAGACAATAAGAGAGAGTGGTGGTGTTGAATAGTGCGATGCATGTACCTTCTTTTCCTATTGTGTCAAAATACTTAGGAGTTTCATAAAACATAGCTTGTCATTCATTCCTAGATTGCTTTGAAAACGAAAGTGAAACAGAGCCTCACCTTCAGTTAGGGAAAACCAGCTCAAGGTAAAACAAGGAGCTAGAGTTGTTCCCCTTCTTTCTTGAGACCACATGTTGGCTTTCCTAAAGCCTAGGCAGCTCTGGCTGGCCTTCTCTGCAAGCCTGGAGGTGAATGACATGATAAGCCTTGCTGTAACTATAAGCCATCTTCTCGCCAATAGACATCCTGAGACAGAAGCACTGTCTTTGTATTTCAGTAGAAGTTTATCTGCTCTGCTTCATGGAGTTCAAAATGTGATTACTGCTAAAGCAGGTAGATTGCATTGGTAAATGGGATTTCAGCATGTAACTGAATGCTGAGAACAGAGGAGTGGCACCGTCAGCCTGAGAACGTGTTTTGCCAACGTTACGGGATTGGAAATAGAGTTTGGAGCTGATATATAGGCAGAATACGAATATGAGGAGATAGTCAGGAATATGGTATGGGTATTTAGATGGTGGTGTTAGGATTGCCTTAATAAATAGCATAAACAAGATAGATGTTTTTTCCGTTCTTTAAAAAATTAAACATTTGGGCTAACAGATACCTTTAGAGCAGAGATAAAGAAGTTACTAAGGTGCTGTAAGATCAGTACAGCAGATAGATTAAAATGATTTGTAGGAGAGCGCTTATTCCGTCATCCCTCACTTCACTGGAGGTCGCAAATGTGGGAGAAGATTAACATAATGACAGTGTTTGAGGAACAACTTA